GTGCAGCAGTGATTGAATGTAAACATAACAGGGTTCCCACGGGTCCTTATAAAATGTCTTAAATCAGTCTTCCGTAGGCCTTAATTTTTAAAACATCATAAATAGGATTATTTTTATTGCGATTTTTTTTGTAATCTAAATAAAACATTAAAATTGACATTTTTTTTTTTTTTATAAAAAAAAAATAATGACTCGCCATTATTGGTTCCGCTATCGGAATGGAACCAATAAAAGCGTTGTTGCGACCGGGCAAGTGTAAATGTAACGATCCAGCCAAGAGTTTTCTCCATGGCTAAAACCAGGGAACATACATGAGGCTCAGTGGATTTAGTGCAAGAAGTCATTCAAGCTCAGAACGATGGGAATTAAGGCAGTGGAGTCACACATGCGAAGCACGAAACACAAAGCGTCAAAATGGAGTTACAGAGAAACAGCTGGTATTTCTCAGTTTAGTTCCACCCTTGTCTCTGCAACGCCTCCACTTATCACCAAATCAAACATACTAAGAAAACCATACAAAGAAAAATAGCTGCAAAAAAGACTTAGCACTGGTTATGTTGTGGCTTTAAAACTGATTTGTTTTGTTCCCTGCTAAAACAAAGTTTGTGAATTCAGTTAAATAATTGTTAAAATATTTCTGTCATTTGTGTGTTTTTAGCTTTCTTCCTGTATGGGAAGCTTTTCAAAATTGGAAACATTAGTGCAGTGGTTTATGTTAAAATAAACCTTTGGGTTTAGTTATCGAAAGCGTTTTTTTCTTGTGTTTCTTGTGAATTTGGTCTTAAATTTTTTTTCAAGTGGCATTAAAAAGTCTTAAAAAGTCTTGAATTGAACTTGCCTTATGCTGTAGGAACCCTGCATAAGACTGATATATGATTAACAGTTTTTCCAACATTCAGCGCTTTTTCCCCCCATTTTATTCAACATTCAGCAGTCTAATGCAGTGGGGACGAAGCTGTTTAGGAATCTGCTGGACCTGCATCGGATTTATAATGTTACGGTCTGGGGACATGCAGCGCTGGGATGAAATGTGGTAACCACAATATAATGTTAAATGAACCGACAGAACCCAAATGTTTCATGGATGCACATTTTTTAGTTACAAGAAGTGGATGCAGGCTGTATTTTGTTCTTAATCTTTGCTTGAAATTAAAGCCCATCGCTCCATCTGGTCTCCTCTGAGCAGCTGATGTCCTTATGATATTTAATATAAACATAGCAATACCACTGTCCAAAACTAGGTTCTTATGGGTCATAAATAGGTCATATTATAGGATTACAACAGAAATATGAGGATTACATAATCCCCATAGGGGCAAAATATGGCTGTTATGTTTGATAAAATTTGTAAAAGTTCTGCTTATTTAACAACGCTTCTTATCTCTAGTTTCACCACCTGCAGTCAGACTTTAAACAAATACTGCAGCAGCTAATGTTCCATTGACTTTGTTTCTGGCTTAATTTCAATTTCAAGCTTTAGTGAAAACTTTACAAGATGTCAGAAAATACAGTTTTGTTTTGGGAAACATTCAGGTAAATGTATATGTTTTTATTTCCAGAAGACATGTTAAACTGAGTTTCTGATTGATTAATGGGGGGGGGGGGTTAATAAGTGTGCATGTCTGTTTTGCAGATACTAAGAAAATTAACGTCTTTCTATAGGAGGACTGTGGGGTTGTCTTTGGGTCTTGTAGAACGAAGTTGGATGTTGGATAAGTCTACATAAAAAAAAAAAGAAAAATAAAAACAATTTCCTCACATTTTAGGATGTATAATAATCAGCATTGCCTGAAAGTTTGTGGCATCCTGGAAAATGTTTGACCGGGAAGATTTACAGCCACACAACCTTTTTAAATTAAAACTAACAGACTAAAAAAAATTACTAAAACAAACCAAATACACTAAAATGTTAATGTTCTTTTTTAAGCTAAGGAGCATTAAATTAACCTAAAGTTTTTCCATGAGTTTGGGCTTTTATTATTTTAACCTGAACAATGAAACTAGATCACATTTAGTCCTATAGAACAATGTAACTAACAATGACAACAAAAACGTGGTGTGTTAATGAAACAAAACAAAAAACCTCAGGATTTTAATTTGATTCAATTTGTCTATACATATAAAGCGCCAATTCACAATACATATATTATTAATGCGTTTTACAGATTACATAATTCAATCAGATTATCCAGTCAGATTGGTTCAAATTTTTTATCAAAAGAAACCAGCTGATTGCCTGAGGTGTCAAGTAACAAAGTACAAATACTTCGTTTCTGTACTTAAGTGCACTATCTATACTTTACACCATTACTTATTTTTCCTTCTAGGAGGTATTAAAAGAGATTTTTGATGTATAATATGGATTATGGATTATGGTCCGAGCGTCCTAGTTGCGGAAAAAGGGCAGAGGTGTAGATGTCTTTAACATTTGCATAAAAAAGGATTTGAATGTCCCTTGTTTTACAGGTGACCTACTGGCTGAGTGTGGGGAGGGTGGAATGGAGGGAGGCTCAGTTGAAATCTCCAGTTATGAGCAGGAGAGAGCGGGGGCGCTGTGTCTGCAGCCTGGTCACTGCATCGTGGATTCGCTCGCACACAGCTGTGTTATCCATGGAGGGGAGGGGGGACGTAAACACAAAGCAAAATCAAATTCCCAAAACTCTTAAGAAAGATACTACAGTCTAATGCTCATCGTGAGTAGCTCGACCTCTGGGGAGCATATTTGTTCCTTCATGTACACATGAGCCACGTTCCATCATCTCTCATTCACAAACATTGCCAGCCCCCCTCTTTTTTCGACTCTCTGCTACAGTCCTGTCTGCTCTGATGAGTTTAAGGCTAAATTTTAAAGCGGGGCAAATCCATCTTACCACATCTCCGTGAAGCACATGATACTTGCATCTCTGTGTCTCCACTGGAAGCGGGTTAAAGCTGTGATCTCCTTCGTCTTGTTGCAGAATGATCTTAAGTTTCCCATGACAGCTGATGGTAAATAACTTTCCCTCATTTTGCATGCACGGAGTTTATTCAAAATTAAATGATATTTAAGTTGGAGTAGATAAACATTACCAATATAAAGTGTACCGTAACAACGTAGGAGAAAAAGAACCAGTTTAAAACAATGGTGCAAAAGGGCATTACTATAAAAATCTTCAGTACAGTGCAAAATGCAGTAGAACATTTAGTTGTGTCCTATTTAAAAGGATTATAAAACTTCAACACATTGGTAGTGTAAAATAATGTGATGCAGAGTCCACTCGAAAGTTCAAAAGTTCAATAGTCTGATGGCAGCGGGGAAAAGCTGTTGCAGAACCTGCTGGTCCTGCATTGAATGCTGTGAAGCCTCATCCCAGAGGGCAGCAGGGAGAACAGTCCATGGTGGGGGGGTGAGGGGTCGCTGATGATGTTACAGGCTCAGGACACAGAGCGCTTGGATCAAATTTCTTTAATATAAATAAGAGGAGCCCTGATGATCCTAGCTGCTGTTCGCACCACTCTTCTCACGTTCTTCCAGTCTTAGACGCTGCAGCCTCCACACCACACAGTGAAACAGCTGGTCAGAAGTCCAGACTCTTTCTGTCTTGCGTCATTGTTGGATGCTACGACAACTTCCTGTAATACTGCTGCTCCACTTACGCCTCCTGGCGGCTGTTGTAGACCTGTCAGCTCTTTGCAAATGTCGTAATTTGCCTTCCTGTGTCGGATCGGTCAGCTGAACGGTCCTGAACTTTCTCTGTAGCCATATATCTGCTGCTCTTCTCGGCCTGTCATCTCTGTCCTTGCCTGCTGCACTTCTCCTCGGCCGACTTTCTATATCAGATGCTGTGTGTTGATAAGTCATTTAGCCAAAGTTACTCTCAGTCTCTCAACAGGACCTTCAAGGTTTTTTTTATGTCAACCAATCTGAGTTTTATTGCTGAGTGATCACTGTAGCAGTGTTGCACCGGGTAGCATTCTGCCATCAGCCGTAAAGCTGAGCACTCATTACAGCTTTGTGTCATTTGCTGTGCTTTCATACTACAGTGTTGGCCTCTCTGTGATACGCAGGCTATTTCTGCCGTTCAGTTTGCACAGTTGCACTTTATTCTTTGGCTTTCCCTCGGAAAACGTACCATCAGTCTCCATAGGTTCTGAATGAGGTCAGTTCTCCAAAGGCCCACAAATATTTGAGGAGGAGTGGAGTCTGCAGGACAAGGTGACCCACTTACAGGAAAAAATCCTTCAGTCCCTCCCTCCTGCTCTCCATCTTCCTCATTAATTCTGCTGGTTTTCCCTTTCTGTGTGAGTCTGAGCTCCTCTCTGCCTGCTGCTCAGAGCAACGTTAAAATCACAGTTAAAGAATCTCCTCTGTCCCTCTCTAAAAACGTATGTGATTTTTTTGATTAGGATACCACAGAGTCACGCTCACAGTTTCAGCTTGTTGATAAGGTCAAGTTGAGGCCACTTTTTGCTCCAGCTATTGAAAGTGTTGTTATAAATATCAACCACAAAGTGGCGCTAGAATACCGTCTTAGCCTCTATATATGCATCTCAGCTCTCTGTATAAGAAGTGTTTTCTAAATATTTGGCCTGTTTGTAGATGTAATCAATCCAGCAATTCATTCGTAGAGGGTCAGAATTTGAAAGGTTGATATTTTTCAGCTGCTATAAGGATCAAAACATGGGTCAGAACCGACTTTGGTCCTGTTCTTTGATCACACATTCCTGCTGTTCTCTGACCTCCATTTCTCTGGAAGGTTATGAACCTTAAAAAACACAATCGTTCCTTTTTCTAATCTTAGCATTTTGGGTTTTGTTCTGTTTTTTGGGGGTTTTCTTGTAGTGGCAAACATTTATTTTCCAAAGAAGGTTAAATATGAGCATTAACTGTAGAGCACATGGTAAAGATGCAACGTTACGAAAAGGTCCTGTCTTCCAGAGGAGTTTCCGAGCTAAAAGGCAGTAAAAGACATATCCTCTCCTCTGGTCTTGACCTGCCTTCTTTGTATCTTTTCCTTCAGTCCCAGCAGTCACAGCGAGGCGGTTGGCCCCAGGAGGAAGCTTTACAGCGCCGTTCCAGGCAGACACTTCGTGGTGACTCGTTCTTACACTGCCCAGGCCGAGGGAGAGATCAACCTCTACAAAGGGGACAGGGTCAAAGGTCAGTCATTCCATTCCCTCTACTCACCCTAAGACTGACATCAAACCCGTTAATTATAAAAAGCTTATATTCAAAATGTATTATCAGAGAAACAAATATGAACTCTCCTTTCTTGATTCAGTTAAGTCCAACATTTCCATCAAAGATTTCTTTAAACACTTTTTCTATGAACACAGACCATTTATTTAGGCTATAAAATAATAGAGAAAACAAGCAGCACCTTTATTCACCCTTCTTCTATCTATCCATCCATCCATCTATCTATCTATCTATCTATCTATCTATCTATCTATCTATCTATCTATCTATCTATCTATCTATCTATCTATCTATCTATCTATCTATCTATCTATCCATCCATCCATCCATCCAATACCAATCTATCAAATGTTATCGGGACGGCTTTAGTTGTGTTTTTGAGTTGATCCCTTATTGGACAACTTCTTTGTTAACATTTCATGGAGGTAAAACATCAGTTTGATTATGGAGTTAATTCTGTTTCATTATCGTTGAAAGCAAAGATCATATTTTATAAATCCTTTTTTGAAAAAAAGTATAATCCAGAAATAAACTTTCAAAAACGTCTAAAAAAAAAAAAAAAAAAAAAGGTTCCAAAGGTTACTTTGCTGTTTTCTTTTCACTTTAAGATAACCAGAGAAATTGACCAATAAAACTGTTGGCACTAACGTCAGCAGACCAATAGAAATGCATGTTCCATCCTCAGTTCAGAGGAAAGCCCGCCCCTAGAAAATGTGATCTGGAAAACACAGTTGAAAGAAAAAACAATTTGTACAGCTATATTTATATATAAAAAAATAAAAATCAGCAAGTCACTTTCAGAATCTTCTCTTGACTAAGAAGTTTTTTAAAGTTTTAATTATAATAATAATAATGAATTTTATTTGTAACGCACTTTACATTTGACTTCAAATCTCAAAGTGCTACAAAGTGCTACATTTAAAAAAAGGGAAAATTAAAACAAGTTTAAAAGACCATAACATTAAAAACAGAGTAAAAAGATAATCATTAAAATCAATACATTCAAAGGCATACGTAGCCTATTAAAAATAAATCTAAAATCAACAACTTTTATTAGTGGATTGCTCTCAATTTACAAAATGTGTTATTTGCTTTTATCACTGGTTATAGTGATGTTTCCTAAACACCACTAACAATTCTTAAAACCTGCTAAAATAGAAAATCAAAATGTCTGAAGAGGATAAGTTCTTTAAAGGTTTTATTAGTGTTTCTAGTTTTTATCTATATTTAAAGAAGCTCTGACCATTTTGTAAAGAAAAGAGAAGATGGAAAATCAAATCATGCAGTGATTTCCAGCCTTTTTTCAAACTGCGCTCCTGGAAACTTTTCTTATCTATAAAAAGTTCCAATAAAACCTGGAATTACTGAGCCAGAGGATAAAGATTACTATCCACGTATTAAGATTAATGTAAAAAGATGGACGTCATTCAGCCTTTTCAGCTTTATTTAAACTCCTTATGCCAGATTTACCTTTAATGTTTAAAGACTCAGAGTTTTCAGCCTCAATCTTATTTCTGTTTGATGATAAAGAAAAGGTTTAAAGTGATGAAGTTATTGTAAAGAAAACAGGAAAGACTTGTACTTAAATAAAGTTTGATCAAATGATTTTATCTTCCAGATTTCAAACATTTCATATTTTATTTGTTTCAATTCATAACTATTTTATTATTAAACTGCTATGGCTTTAAAAAAAAGGTGGGTTTTATTGTCTGTTAAGAACAACAAGCATTTTTTTTCTCACTCTGACATTAAATCTGTTAAAAACTTCCAGGTTTAGTTCAAGAATATCTGAATTATTTATTCCGTCCTTATTTCTCAAATTGAAAGTCTTACATAGATTTCCTTAAAATCTATTTATCAAATTTAAAATTGTGACTTTGGCTCCTTTCTTGTGGGGTTTCCTTGCTTTTTGGCTTCTCTCAGAATTTTGCATCAATCTGGGCCCGTTTTTCCCTGACAGCGCTGGTTGGTTTGCCTCCTTGATCAAACAGGCATTTTCAGCTCTGACCAAAAGTTACCTGTCTGAGATCTTAGATCTGGGCTCGGTTCTGGCGGTTCTAAATTGCTCCACATATTCTCATTTAACCACTTTACAATCATCTGGTTGTTTGCTTTGTTTTCATCATCAGAACTTTATAGAAATCCTGGTATATGGAAACCTGTAACTCTGATAGAAAATCCCCTTTAACTATACTAAGCAAACAGTTATTTAGTAAACTTTTCTGACATGAAAAAGAAGAATTTTAGTCTGATTTAATGTCAGCTTGTAGGAAAATAAATAGTTTCTCTCTTTTCATACAGTGTGTGTGATTACCTCATTCTGATTGTAGATATGCACTGATTATATGTTGGGGTTTTTTTTGCAAGTTGCATCTCCAGCTCAGACTTTCTGTGGTCATATCAAACCTTTGGCCTAATTTCTAACCCTAAGGTTAACCAATCAGTAAAGGCAGTGAGTACTAGCCAATAAGAAGCAGAGTAAAGCAGGTGATGGCTTTACTATCCTAGGACAAATGGGAAATTTGGCTGGGAGAATCTGCTTAATAGTCTGGATCTTTGGGGATGTAGAAGTGGCTATATGCAATGCCGATTGAAAAATTAAGTGGGTATATGCCTTATAAAACAAAACAAAAGCGGAGCTGTGGCTCGCGGACACTGCAGGCGGGGGGGTGGGGCACCACCTAATCTCAGACACTCAAGGGGAGAAACACAGGTAAGTGACCATGATCAACTGATAGAAGATTATCTGAGTTGGTCACTTACCTGGTTTAACAGTCCAGACCACAAATGTCCCCAGTGCTGCAGTCCCAGAGGTCATGCTGGAAGCCGATCCTGGTCAGGGAAAAGACAGGAACAGACAGAACAGGCAGGATCCAGATCAGGCAGGAGCAGAAACAGGTGGCATGATCCAGACTTCCAGGCATCCACAGGCTTCCAGGAGTGTTCAGAGTCTGACTGGGACCAGAAGCAGGACTTTAAACTGGTCTCCTCCCTGGAGCCAGGCTTACTGGATAAAAACTGAACCCCCCCCCCCATAATGAGCCAAAAACCCAGAGGACTCAGCAAGGGAGGAACAGTGGACGATCAGGAGACGAGACAAACACTAAAACCCTCTTTCCACTGGCAGCTAGGATCCAGGACATGAACCATCAAATCAACCTGAACAGACAGACTAACAAAAAAAAAGTAATGATCTGGACCCGAATGCTCAGGCTGAACTGAATATAAACCACAGGAAACAGGTGAGAGGAATAAATTATAATTGAGGCAGGGAGGGAAAACGGCAGGTGAAAGGAATGACTAATTAAGGGAGAGCAAACAGGCCAGATCATGACACTTTCCTCCACTTACCTGTGTCTGTGTCTGCACCTTGAAGCTTTCTCTCTCCGGTTCTTTTTCCTGAAAAAAGATCACTCGGGACAAACTCTTTAAGTAACACTTCATAACTTATATATATTAAATAACCATGAGAAATGACAACAGATTTTGGTAGAAACTGTAATCTTACTCAGATCAGAGACGTTGCTTAGAGTTACAGGCAGCTGCTCACCCTCTGGGCTCACCTTTCAGGAAGTGGCCCTGATTAACAGTTAAAAGGGCATTTTATACATCTCCAGTCTGCCACATCATCTTGTTTTACATCATACACGTTAGTAAAAGAATAGACATCACAGCTTCAGTCTTATTAAAATATTACACTTTGTTCTTAGCTGAAGGACGCCGCTCCCATTCCATTTCCAAATCTTTGCCACAGACAGAAAGAAGATTATAACTGTATATCTGGACAGAGGAACTGTCTTAATTAGATAAACTATTGTGGAAAATGTCAGTTCTGACACGCAACAGGCAGCTAATATTAAGATGTAACAAATTAGTAGGGGTTTAATTTACAGACAGCAGTTTGATCTCTGGGAATCTGTAGATCGTACAGTATGTGTAAATTCTCAGTCATCCGGGTCATGGCAACCACAGATAGTCTTAAATTGGAAGGCAAAGTGACTTTTTTTTCAGTTTTTATGAAGACGTTTCAACACCAATCCAGGAGTCTTTGTCGATTCTGTCGGCTCACACCAGAGCAATCTGTAGTTGGAGCACTGATGTAGCCTATTTAGGCATTATGTTGCCAAGTCTTGCAAAGCTGTATCCGCCCGCACCCGTAGAGTTCATAACCTAGACCTGACCCGTTGCCCGCAACTATCCTTGCGACCCGACCCATGATCACAAAGTGTACACACCGGTTATAATAACAGAGGCAGTATAGATCCACGCCTTACGCTCACATCCAGTGTGCTGCGCTCACAGATTAACAGCCGTAAACTGGCCGAAGTGAGAAGGTTTGCCTTGTTGCTTAAAGAAAATGCTGTTATCTGGATATTCTTGATTCAATTAAGTCTTTAACCTCTTACACCCTAAGGGTGTATAAATAATTTCTGCCTGACAAAAACACACAAAAGTAAATAACTTATAGCCTCAAAGCTATTAGATTTAAGAAGAAACTTTTGGTACGTCTGTAAAGGTAAGATGTCATAGAATGGATTTCTGGTGTCAGCACCATTGTAGCTTTGACCCTGCCTGAAATATTAGGGACAAAATACAAAATATTTGGCATTTTTTGAACCTCGCCAAAATTTTCTTTGAAATAAACATTGCAAAACACTACCAAAATATTATTTATAGCACAAAAAAGTAGTACAGACTTTTAAATCTAAATGTGTAAAATTATACCAAATTTGGACTCAATCAGATGAATCATATTTATTTTAGAATGGTATTAGTGAGAAATTTCTTAGGTGGACGGGCCATTTTGGCACATTTATCCATAAATGTCACCAAACTGTGCCAAATGTGTTTTTTACATCAATACTGGGGGTTTGTTAAAATTACGAGGTCGCGTAGCAGCTGGACCCACCGGTGGGTCCGTAGGGTTCTAGGGGTTAAGAGTTAATACATAAGAAAATATAAATCAATTTCATTAATATTGTTATTCTGATACCTATAAAAGTAAAAAAAAAAATTAAAACAAGTTTTACAGGTTTGAAGACATTTCGCTTCCCATCCAGGAAACCTTTTCCATTCAAAATGTGGATTAACATTGAGATCCAAGCTTTATAGAGTAGCCCTACAGCGCCTTGTTATGGCTTGGAAAACATGCAAATTGAACCGGAAGACTAGATCCACCCATCAGTAATGGGGAGTCGTTGAGGTCTTTGTTAGCCTGCAATACAGATACTGGCCTATGCCTCTGAAAATGGAGTCTTTAGGGTCATTGTTGGCCTGGCTGACCAGGTGAGAGGTTTTGGTGCTCTGCATAGCGAAGGGGGTTGAGATGGGAAGGAATAAACTCCATTGCTGCGTTGTAGGTCATCAAAAGAGGACCAGAATGAGTCATTTTATTCTCTTATATCTGTACTTTAAAGCTTGGTTTGCTGTTTTAAGTGAGATTTTTAATCTTTAATTCAATCTTTTTTCTTTATTTCTTTTTTCCCGACTGTTTCTCCAGTTCTGAGTATTGGAGAGGGTGGATTCTGGGAGGGCAGCGCCCGTGGACAGCTGGGCTGGTTTCCAGCCGACTGCGTGGAGGAGATCCCGGCCAAGGCCACCGAGGAGAGGACCTGTGAGTGACACGTTGGCTGTGTTGGTAACAGGATATATGACTGAGATCTGAGGAGCACATGTTGGGAATTAGGGGAAAAAACACATTTTGAAAATTGAAATTTGAAAAATAAAATGCAATCCAGAAGGAAAGTTCTTTTAATCAATAAAGGTTTTGAGAGTCACTCAAATAGATTTCCTTTAAATTTTTTTATTTATTTATTGGTTATATTTGATATTTTCTATTTTTTCTTTTTTGTTCCTGAAAATAGGTTTTTCATTTTTATTATTCATACTCCTGTTTTCCGATTAGGTTTAAATGTGTTGTGTTTTTCTTTTTACTTGCAATTTTCGGATTATGTTGTCGTCACTTGTTGGGGTAGGAGTTCCTCTAAAGTGAACAAGTTTCGACTGGTTTGTATGGATGTTAGAAACAACATTTTATTGGTCGGGGTTCATTCGTATCAGACTTAAAGTGAAGTGAATACCATTTGTGAAATGATATTTAAAATTGAAAAAATTCCCAAATTTACATCTGAAAAATGGGAATTAAAAAGAAAAATCTAAAATATAATATCTATAAGAGGCATTTGAAAAAATAAAAATAAAGAAAAAATAAATCAGAGAAACTTACTTTTGAAACCTTTTTTGATTCAAATTAAAAAGTGTGTTTTTTAATTTATATTTACAAACCTTTTCTTTGCTTGCAGCAATAATGTAACAAAATTCCTTCCATACAGGTTAGCACTGTAGCTAAGACTGAAATGATGGACTCATTTCTTTACAAAACCTTAAAACATTTACTAGTTTTTACATTTTCAAATTAGAAAAAGGGAACAAAAAGACGCATCATAACAGTATTTCCACCTTCGACTGAGTCCTGATGCTTTGATGCAGCATGGATGAGGTTGGGGGCGCGGGGCCTCCATGCCATCTTGCTAGGATTTAACAGTGATTTGAATCCCAAATGAAACAGAGTTTTTCTGCCCAAACTATTCCTAACATTCAGATCCAACATGCTAACCTTTCTCCATGGATCAGGTGCTCCTGTCGGTGGTTTCTGTACAGGTTTGGCACCCTGACCCGTCTGCATTTGTGTAACTTTAAATCAAAATTCTTCACACCTCCTTATGTTTTGAATTCCAGAGCTTGATTTTTTTCATTCTCAACTCATTAGTGCACATTAACTTCCAAACTAAACATCTTAATGACTGTAATTAGTTCCTGTAAAAACGTTTTTTTTGCGTGTGATGGCACGTGGCTCGAGTTTGAGCAGCATGTGTGTCTTTCATTCTGTCTGCTCGTCTCTTCCCATCTCCCCCAGGCTGCCGTGTGCCGAGCTTAGCGCTACATTGCCCTGCTAACTCAGCTGTGCTCTTATTTCCTATGGGTGCAAGCTAATGAACTTGTCATGCCATGCTCCATCCCCCATAAACGTTTTCCCCGTCCATACGTTCACTTTGTGCCCAGGGAGATGTTTGAGACGTCTTCCTTCTCTCTCTACCGCTCTCTCTTTCTGTTTTCCATCTTGTGTCATGTTGTTTTCTTGCTTTGTTTAATTATTGAGATGAGTAAGCACCGAGTTAGCTCCAAACATCCATCAGCTCTGATCCAGGCAGACCGGCTCCTGTTCTTATGTTCCTCCATTGCTTTTGCTGTTTGCCATTATTTGTGTGGCTCAGTGTAAAAGTTAAACCCAAGGCAATTGGCTGAGGAAAGCTCCCTCATGCTGTGCCTGGTCCAAACTGCCCCCAGGTCTGCCTCGAAAGAAAAGGCTGTCAGAAAATGGGAACACAGTATGGCGTCCTGCAAAGAGCCATTCAGGGGCGGCTTCGGTCAAAGCTTCAGATCAAATGTAGGCTGCAGTCAGAGGAGCACCGCATGCCGACATGTAGCCGTGAAACAGCTTCAGCTGACAGAGGAACACATTAAAATCATTCTGATCTTTGTATTTTACCAGTGATCAAATAACAAGCTGTCCACTTCCCTTCATCTAAACAGTAGTTCTAATACATCTTTCTCATTTCCCAAAATGGATCAATGAACATAACATCCTCAAACAAACCTTGTCTGGTTTCTCTTCAAGACCTGAGCAGGAATTTCTTTTTCTTGACTGTTGTGTCTGCTTAGAAAACTATGAATTGCTACTAGTCTTCAGCGTTAGCAGGGCCATAAAGAGGGGTTGGTGTTGAATAGAGAGAGACTTGTAAAAATGTCACAGGCAGATCAGCGGTATGGTTTGCTTTAACTCTAGAGGCTTTGAAAGCCTCAAAACAAACCCATTCAGGAGGCTCTGTAGATCTAAATGTGTCTGTTATTTAATATTTAATAGAGTAACTTTAGGTCTGCCATATTTAGTCCAGTGGACACCTACATGGCCGTGATGTTAGAAAAATAGAAGGAACTGGAATTTTGAGCACTATCAAACTCCAAAAATAAAACTTTGCACAAATATGAAACAAGTTTACAACTTCTATTAAAGGCACACTGTGGACATTGTGACCTAAAGAGTTGACGCATATGAGTTATTTTAAATGATTTCTTAGGCCAATATTCAGCGCTTGACACCATCAATGGTATGAGCGTCATGTCACCTGGAAGACTGTATCACTTTATGGCAACAGGCTCTTATATTGTCATGGAGATAAGGCTTTTTCTCTACTATTTTTCCGTCTGCTCGACTACTGGTCATGGCTGAAAGGCATTGAGGAAAAACAAGAGTTGATCTTGGAAAGGAGTTTCTTCGTTTGCGCAGGCTGAGAGAAGAAGCTGGATGCAACCGGACCGTGCCAGACACAACAAAACCAGGCTAAACTAGTACTAGTTCAACCATGGGGGTCGGCAAGTTTTAGTTCAGGCTCGATTCTCAGATGAAAAAGAGCGCATGAGCAGACCGCATCATTAAATTTCATTCATACAATCAGCCTCCGTAATCATGAAATTTCCGATATTCATAAAAATAATAGCTTCTCTACCTTACCACACAATTTCCAGTGATGATTCTGCTTAGCAGTGTGATGATTGTAAACTCCTGTCATTGTTTCCTGCTTTTGTAAGCCCTGATTAAACTATCGTTTGTCAAATCCACTCCCCAAAAGCCGACTCTGTCAAGTAAATTCACCAAAGGCTGCCTTCTTCGCCTGACTCTCTGCAAACAACAAAATATCACAATTAGACTTAGGCAACTTTTATTTGCTGTATACGAAACAAAATTTGGTTAAGTACAGCTTTTCAGACAGTAAATAAACATTTCCATTCCATAAAGTGCAGCGGTGATGAAATGTAAACAGTGTGGGAGAAAAAAAAACCAGTGCCAAAAGCATTCATATGAAAGTTCAGAGCATTAATATACATGGTGCATATATGCAGTATTTTTTGGTTTGGTGTTATCAGTGTGATGCAGAGTCAGCATTCAGCTGTCTGATGGCAGTCGGGAAGATACTGTTGCAGAATCTGCTGAACCTGTATCGCATGCTGCAAAGCCTCTTCCCAGGGGGCAGCGGGGAGAACAGTCCATGGTGGGGGTGTGAGGGGTCACTGATGATGATACGGGCTCAGAACACGCAGTGCTGGGATGAAATGTCTTTAATGGAGGGAAGAGAAGGCCCAATGATCCTCTCTGCTGCTCTCACTACTCTTCTCACCTTCTTCCAGTCTGAGGCGCTGCAGCCTCCACACCACAAAGTGAGACAGCTGGTCAGAACGCTCTCTATGGTGCTTCTGTAGAAGGTTGTTCGGATGGGTGGTGGCAGGTGGGCTCTCTTCATCCTCCGCTGGAAGTCCAAGCGCTTCTGGGACCTTTTGACCAGTGAGGTGGTGTTTACAGTCCAGGTGAGGGTGTCTGTGATGTGCACCCCCAGGAATTTGGTGCTACTGACCACCTCTACAGCTGAGCTGTTGATGAGCAGTGGAGTGTAGTTAAGCCGGGTCTTCCTGAAGTCCAAGATGATCTTCATGTTCTTCACATTTAGGATCAGGCTGTTACCTTTGTGCCAGTCCTCCAGCTGCTCCGACTCCTCTCTGTAGTCCTGGTCGCTGTCATCTCTGATGAGGCCCACCACAAATAAAATAGCTATAAATATTGATTTTTTTTTTATTTCTTCTATAAACAACTTTCCCTTTTTTCCACATTCATTTCCAATCCAGCCAAAGTAAACACTGAAGTCAGACAGATTCTCAACACTAGTACAGAGAGAGACAGATGGGCAACTCCCTTCCAGATGTTCTCTAAGGCTACGTTCACACTGCAGGCCTTGATGCTAAATTCCGATTTTTTTTGCGAAATACGTTTTTTTTAAGTTGCTGTTCATATTTCCAAATTTATGCGACTTCTATGTGATCTCCTGTGTGAACTGCAGTCATACAACGCAAGTGTCCCGCATATGCAGTAGAGGACGAAATGACGTCACAGGCCAGCGTGCTTTTATTTTCTGGAAGTAAACATGGATGGTATTACCAGCGCGCATCTAGCGGTCTTTTCCAACCATAAAAACCAACATATTCTCATTATCAGTTCGTATGAAATCGTACGAAAAGTTATGCACAGTATTTCGTACGTTTTTGACATTTTTTTCTCGAAAAAAACATATCGCTGCGCATGCGCAGCCAGACAGAAGAAAGAAGCAGATCCGTGGACGGATGTAAAACTGGGACGGACAGTGCAATAATTACTTCATGATGTCTCTAAATAGGTTGCTTGCTCTTTTGTATCTTAGGGTTAGGGTTAGGGTCAGGGTTAGGGTTAATTGTATGTTAAATTCTATGTTATTGAATGGTGCATAAGATAAACATAAATACTGCTCTCCGCATCATCATCTGCCATGGTTGCTGTTTTTCTTGCCACGTCTGCATAGCAAGACGCATAATAGTGACAGATATCGGATCCAGGTCGCATATGGGCAAAAAAAATCGGATTTGGGTCACTTCAGGCTGCACTGTGAACGTAGCCTGAGAACGCTGCTTGTCTAACCTGAAAAACTGTTTTAAATCGGCGGCTTCATTACTTAAAACATCTGAACTGTT